TGCCACAGTGCTTAGGGCACCAACCCTGCCCCTGCCCGGGAGTGGGATGGTGCTGTACCTGCAGGGACACCTGCCAGGGCCATGATCCAGGCACTGCGTTCTGCCCGTTGACAATCCTCTCGCTGTAGACCACCGAGGGACTGACGGCAGGCACGCCGCAGCCTGCAGGAGAGGCAGAGGGGCACAATGGTGACCCCAAAAGCTCAGGGCTCTTGCCCAGGACCAGGTGGCTCCGTGTCGCACTCCCCAGCGTTCTGCTGCACCCTGAGGACTTCCCCACACCCATGGGCAGCACTTACCTGAGACGGTGCTGGCAAGGGCCAGGCAGGCAACTACCCACAGGAACGCCATCCTGAAGACACAGGTCTATCCCCTGGGGGCTGCAGGCTTTATAGCAGCCAGGAGCCACGTGGCTTGTGCCTATGCAGGGCAAGGTCGCCCTGTGGCCTTCTGTCAGCTGCAGGCAGTGGGCCAAGACTGGTATGTACTGTGCCCCATGCCAGGAGGGACATGGGAAGGTACTGCCAAAAGACACCTGGGGGTGCTTGGACTATTGCTGTAATGAGTTGTGTCAGTTCTCACTGCAGCCTGTGGAGCTGGAGAGGGGAGAGCACCACAGGGCTGTGATGAGGGACACAGGGGGCTGCTCATGGATACACAGCAATGGGGCTGGACATGCTGGGATGGACACCAGTGCCTGGGGTGTGGGAGGTCATCCCATGCCCAGACCTCTTTCAGATCTGTTGGCACTAGAGCTGTTTTTCCATGTGGCCATGAAGCCCTGGTCTGGGCCAGTGCTGGTCCCAGCTGGACATTCCCAGGGCTCAGGACCAGCCTTTGAACCACGACCTTACTGCAGTGAGTCCCAGAGCCAACGGGGGCAGGTGGGGAGGGCAGACAGCTTCCCAGGCAGGTGGGAGCTGTGCCCAACTGTGCAAGCACACCACGAGCCCCAGGGAGGACAGTGGGCACCTCACCAAGCTGAGGTTGAGCCCTTCACTGAGCATCCCAGCACTGCAGCTGCCTGACCCTCACCCCAGGGCTGCATGCTGGGGAGCAGTACACCCCCTCCATCCTGGGCATGGGGTAGTGTCTCCATCATCCTCTGTGTCCCTGGGTGATCTCCCAGAGCGGCACTGGGTGCAGGGAGCCAGCCCTGGGGTGACGCCTAACATGGAGATGGATCCTCCTCTCTCTGTGCCACCCACATGCCCTGATCCTCCAGGAAGCAGAGCCTAGACACTGGGGAGTGAGGCCTTTATTTCCAGCAGTGGTGCCATACAAGGACAGGATGTGGGAAGAGAGGAAGAGTGTGGAGGTGTCCCAGGGCACTGCAGGGGCTGGGCACAAGGATGTAGGCAGACACACAGGCTGCTCCTCATCTTCACATGGCACCTGGGCAGCAGCAGAGGATGGAGGGAGAGCCAGTGCCCAGGGTGGTGCTGCCAGAGGAAACATGGAGCAGGAGGATGCTTGACACACCAGGCTCTCCACGTGGCTGGAGAGCCTTGGCGTCCAGTCCTGTCTTGGATGCACATGATCCAGGGCTAGG